TTTTACATAATAGTTGCCAGAATTTTTAATTTGTACCTTACTTTGTTTTAATGTATATATTTTTATGGGTATCTTATAATGTAACCATATATTAATATAAAATAGAAAAACAATAAATTTTACATTTAGTAGTTACAGTCATTCTACTTCACACAGTTTTATTCGCTTTTATGTAAGTTGTCAAATTTACATATCCATCTAATTGCGACTGCTCAGTTTGCAATGGATTAACACGGTCGTTTCAAGCAGGTCTTTTGTATCTTGTGATCAGCAAATGACAAAAAACAGTACATATTGTAGTCTATTAAAGTTATAAAATAAAGGATTTGCAGTAAAATATTGATATACGTTCTTTTTCATATTTTAAACAGGTACGCACCGTGGTTGCTTATGATTGTTTCTGCAGGGTTGCTCCGAATCTGACGTCACACGGCCGAGAAAGACAGAGCTAGTCATGCGCACCGCCACACCATTATACTCACACCACGTCACATACAAAATACCACCGATGTACACTTCAGGAAAATTGTGAAGGAATACCTATTAGGAAAAGCGTCTTATTGTTTTAACGACTTTATTAAAGATAAGTTTATGTAGTGTTCTCGAAAATGTGTATGTCAATTAATTTGTCATTTCTATTTTTATTATTTTATTGTGTGTACATGTGACCTATGCAAAAAACTTGTATGTTTATATGCATTAATATATCATTATTATTAAAACATACGGATTTAACTGAAAGTGAAACATACTCGTATACTTAGCAATTGTTACGTTTGTAAAAATTTTGAATTTAAGTTTAAGCGGTCGAGCACAGGACTTTCCACATATAAAAATGTTTGTATGCTGTACCAAAAAAAGTCAAAAAATTGGTCGAACATTATTTCGACAGAACTTCCCTCGCCCATAGAGTACAGTACATCAAATCTAGTTGTTTTGAAAAATGAAAGGATTTGATTTTGGAAATATTATTTTTTTATCACAACTATTATAAATTAAAATAAAGATATGTAGTAATGTTCAAATAAAAGTACAGAAACATGCTCCCCGATTGTTTTAAGTGAGTTTTTCATTACAAAAATTTGCGATGACGTCAACATTTTTGCAAGGACACGTATAACATCAGTTTGGATAGATGTAGTGTAATACTAAAAATAAAAGTACTGTATTCCTTAGTTTTCGGAAAAATGAATCGGGTCGTCTTTAATATCGATTTATAATCAATAAAATAACGAAACAGTTTACTCACGTATGCCGCGTGTATTAGCAGAGGCGACTGATAATCAATTATGTATAAGCATTTTTAATTTAAGACAAAAAGCGATAACACTTGTTGAGATTGTATACGTGAGAGTGAAACAGAGAAACTGCAAACAATGCCGATGGTCCTCCAGACTTTTTTATTGCATCGACTTCCGCTTATTATATAAAACATTGGATTTTATCTTAATTTTTGATGGTGGAATTCACAATTGGTTCATTATAACTTGTCTAAACCACATTCACGGAGCCTAGTCAGCGCAACAAAACGAATGTACGTCTGTGATGTTAAAGTAAATGTAAATAAGCGTGGTACACCTATGTTTCAAACTAGTTTTTACTTTACAAAATTTTGTGTCTATCAAATTGTTTTGGTGCAATGTAATACTAATAATAACAGTGTAGTATCTCAACATTTTCGGGAAAATGCAATGAGCTATTCCTGATTTAATCAATAAAATAAATTGACTCATTCATTAATTTTTAGAGCCACCTGTTTAGGCAAATCGAAAAAATATGAATGGAATGATAAATCACAAGTACATACTCATCATATTTTGTACATTTTAGACAGGACTTATTCAGCAAAATTTTGGGGTGACGTTACCAATTTTTTAGGGGGGATGAGCAAGTACATTTTGACTAAAAATTGACCATGCCTATGATAATTTTAAAACATCTCTAAGATTTCAAAGCATTCGGTTTTGGAGTTCCTGATTAAATCAATAAAATAAATTCAAGCATTCATTAATGCAACCCCCATCAATAAAAGCAAAAGAGAAGCACTGGAAACTCTCTAAACAGAAATTAATAGATAGTTTTATTCTGTGGGTATACGTAAGTAGACTTTTAGTATTTCCTTAATCATATAATATTTGTGTTATAGGACATACGCGAATTGGATTCTGCTTTACAAAGACGTGTTAATAAATGTCATTCCTATAAGTTGATAGCAGAACGCACAACCAGTACCGGTTTCTGTAGGGAATAAGGGTAAATTTATTTCATATGTTTCAGTTACATGGTTTGTAAATCTCTTCAAACATTTTCTTTTTGCAGACATTTTTACGCGTGCGAAGTTGAAATTGAAGAGAAAAAGACTATTCAAAAACTGAGTAATTTATTACTCATTTACCATGCGTTTTAAGTATCTCGCAAAAATATTTTGTTTCTCTTCGACATTCTATATTAAATAATGATGTTAAATTTGTAATAGAAATGTAGAATTGTTGTTAGCCATGCTTATCTGTTCAGAATTATTATGCATTTTTGTACGTTTAAATGTGTTACACAATCAATTTTATGGTGTTTCCATTATGTTAAAAGTGTTAAAAATAAATTTTATATACCTTTGCTTTTGTGTTATTATTCCTTATAAACTGTAGAAATAATTTGTGTTAATAATTTCTTCAAAAATATTTTATTAAACTGGACAATTGTAGAAATCCAAAGTAAATTTTATACTTATCCACATTCAATAATAGTGCAACCATGTAATAAAATTATCCAATCCTAAAATTAAAATATTGTTTGAAACATTGATATTTTGGGTTCGAAATGTTCGAAGAAATTGTATAAATACATTATACATAAACTTTTCGGCTTTAGATTTGTTGTTCAATGTATTCTCAGAATGTTACTCAAAGAATTGTATTTTTATGTATTTATGTTGTATAAACATTGTTATATATATCAACTGCAACTTTATTTGAGAAACATATGGGAATATTTTTGAGAAGGATATTGAAATTATTGACATTAAAAATTCCACATAATCATATAATGACAGTTGCACAATTTTTTTTTATAATATTGTGCAAAATATGTCTGTCACTTTTTTAGAACCAATTTGTTTAAGTAATTTTACATTTGTGCAAATTAGTAAAATATATTTCTCTCTGTGTACTGCCTAATCATAATATGACCAAATTAATTATTCAGTATGAACACATGATTTCATGCCGGATTGCTAGCGACTCTAGCGTCAATGCGCACGATCTTTTGGCCCATATCCGGTAGGGTTCAGGTATAACAGGTTACCCGAAAATGTTTTACCTGCGCAAGAATGAAACTATGAGAGGTAAATCTAATAATGGATGATTTACCTAGCGATAATTAACGCCCGGAAAAATATTTCGTAACACTGGAACTGATTATGCGGACCTCATCTTAGATGAAAAGACAAAAAATAGAAGACTGGTAAAGGCATACATTGCTCTTTTTATTTGTTTTACCACACCATCGCGAATCGCGAGTTATCCACATTGTTTGAATCCACCGAGTTTGGAGACAAAATTATTACTTATTTAACAACTAGTAGCATCAATTGGCACTTTATACAGGCTAGGGCCGCCCATTTTGGCGGATTATGGGAGGCAAGGGTAAAATCTAAGACATTTCATTTAAAAAGAGTACTAGGTTCTCACGAATGGAATGAAGACAGTAGTTCTGAAGATGAAGTTGGTTGAAAACAACAAAGAAGAAACTGATAAACACGATACAAGTTTTACTGAATTACTTAAAACACCAGACCAAAAGATTACAAAAAATGTTTTTAATACAAATGATCAGAAAGGTCCACAGCCGTCAACAAGTGGTTACCAGAAAAAAGAGTCTTGGTATTGCTCTTTGTGTGAGGAAGACAGAATGTGGGATATGAGACAATGCACCAATTGCAACATTTGGGTTCACGAGGAATGCTGTGGACTGACGGCGAAGGACAAAGTCCCTAATTTTAAATGCCCTTCCTGTGAATAAATTGTTTAAATTAATTGTTAAAATTCCATTTCAATTGATATATAGAATATTGTTTATTTTCTTTAATTTATAACAAAATGTTAGGTTTTATTTAATTTTTTTTTGTTATAATCAGGGAAACCTATTAATACTTGTTTATTTGCACTGTTATAGCCTATATAGAATTTTATTTAGTTTTTCAAACACTATAGCTATTATTACAACTAGGGAAATATGAATACTATATTTCCCGAGGTTGGCTAGTTACATCCCGAGGGTGCAACCCGAGGGATGTATAGACAACCAAGGGACATAATTCATATTTCCCGTGTTGTAATCAATAGTTTTTTTCTGATTGATACAATGTTGTTGCAAAAAATATTGGATTCTAAATTTTTGAATTAATCGGATTGGTAACGTTGCTAAGGGTGTTTGTAAATATCATGGTTGGCTGCTTTGATTGTCGCGTCCTGTCATAAATAAAATTGATGAAATGTCGAACTACGTGCTATCACAAGCGGCGAAAGCCCGTGAATGTTTGGTTCCCGTGAAATCTAAAGCTGCTTACAGTAAAGTGTATGAAGACTTTCAAGAATGGAGAAGAGAAAATTCGGTGAATGGTGTCGACGAAAATATTTTGCTTGCATTTTTTGAAGATTTGGTATTTTGCTGATTTTTGTTATTTTTGACGTATGACTAATTTATTCTATCCGTAGTCGCACAAATATTCACCAAATACGTTGTGGCCAAAATTATCGATGCTAAGGTCAATGTTACATTTAAGGGAAAAAACTGATGTTAAACTGTTCGATGAAGTAGAAGCATTTGTGAAGAATAAAAATAAAGGATACATTCCTAAAAAATCAGAGGTGTTGTCTCGACAACAGCTCAAAAAATTCTTGCGAGAAGCTCCTAATGACATTTTTTTGATGTATAAGGTAAAAATTTCATTGTGATTCTCCTCTATTAAATAGATTGTTACATCCATAATTTTGAAGGTCGTTTTAATTATGGAAATCTTTGGCGCCTGCAGAACGAACGAATTGGTGAATATAAATCAATTAAAAAATAAAAAAAAATTGTAGTGAAATATGACAATTCATATTTCCCTTGGGACAATATGATCATTTCATATTTCCCTTGGGAAATATTAGTGTGTTATGACATATTGTAACTAAGGCAATATTATTCAATATTGTATCAATCAGAAAAAAACATCTTATACTGTCTCTATGGTTCATAAGAACTCGTATGTTAACTTTGATTTAAAATAACGTTGTTCTCTTAAAGTACGCTGTCAATGGCAACGTATCTTATAGCTTCTTAAAATACGATTTCGCATATTTCAAGTTTTTTATTTCGAATTTTTACAATAATTATCACCAAAGTTAAAAGTACAATTATTAAAATAAATATTTTGAGCGGTGTTCTTGCTAGTACTAGAGCTAAAGCTGGAACTGCCACACGCTTCACTGTAACTTAGGTTCGTGGGCTTGTCCATAACGATTTCATTGTCAACTAATTCATTCGGTGCCAGCTTTTCATCTCCAAAAACTTTTTGAGCAATTTTCACTCTTTCTCCAAAAGATTCTTGTATGTAAGATTCTGCCACCTTGGTCGATTCCCACCCGCCATGCCTCTTCAACGAAGTAAAGTCTCCGCCTGCATTGAATATAAAGTTACTTTGAAGAATAAAGGTAATCATTACAATACCTGCGTTAACCAGGAGAGTTGCCGAACTGCGGCGAAAAGAATGACCTGTGTATTTAGCTGGATTTTCCAGTTTGAGGAAAGTTGCAATTTTTCTGGGAATTTTTCCAAAGGTGTTAATTCCTACATTTTGGCGAGTACATTTACCTTTATGATAGTGTAAAAAAAACCTCAATGGTGAATTTGTGGGTCGTAAAGCAACATAACGTCGATACAAATCAATGGTATTAACACCAAAGCCTTCATTAACTACACTGAATCTTCTTTCTTTGTGGGTTTTACTGCCAGGTATAACAATATTCAGAACGTTACCACAATCTTGTATATCGTCAAATCTCATAGCACACAATTCGGCCTTTCTGCAAGCTCCGGCAATTCCAAAGATTAAAGCAACCTACACGATTTCATATGTATAAAAAATACTTGTTATTAAGTAATTCTTACCTTCTCGAATAAATATTCTCCGTCATCAGCTTCTTGCAAGAACGTTTTGATTTCTTCTCGTGTCAGAACGTTGGATTTTTTGCCACGATAACCAACATTTAATTTTTTTATATACGAAATAACAGCACCAAATTTTTCAATATCTATGTTTTCTTTTGCCTTTAGAGTGGCCTTTAACATTGAATATTCTGGCCATAAAGAACAAGGTGACAACTTTTGCGACTGTAATTGTTAAATAATTTAGTTTTATGAATTTTACTAAATATGTACTCACTCTCATGTCCAAAAAAGCCAAGATAACATCTTCGGTTACTTCCTTGATGCGGTTTTTATTTTTCCAGTCTTGAAACGAAACATATACTTTCTCGTATGCATTTTTTGACTTTAAGGGTAACAAATTGCTTCGCAATTCTTTTCCCTTTTTCGCAATTTTTTCCGAAACGTTTTCGCACATTTTGACGATGAAAATTGTTTTTTTCAAAATTTGTTTACGTGTCATAGTTACAATACACAGCAATCTTACTATGATACTATGAAGCTTCACAAATGATTTGTCAAAATTTGTAGTAATGAATTGATCAAAAAGGAGTTGATGAATTACTGTTAGTGTTTGAAAAAATCTTGAAGCCAACACGTGTTTTATAGTTTAAAAATCTCGCTCTATAAAATCCTCGCTCCCTTCGGTCGCTCGGATTTTAACTACGATCTTGATTTTTAAACTGTCTATAAAACACTAGTTGTCTTAATAGCTATTAAATAAATGTCCGCATTTTTGTAACTTTATGAGTTTTCATTTTTACTATTTTCAGTTAGATAAAATTCGGTATGCCCATATTTCGAAACCCAAGTGTCCGTATTAGGAGCGCTACAGTCTTAATATGGACACTGTCACTGTTTTGAAAAAGGTTAGTTTTTTTTGTAAGTATGCGATATTTATATTAGTTATTATATAAATATTGATGAGTGAACTGAGGGTTTTCTGATGTCCGAAGTAATCGCCATGTGGCCTATTAATTGATCTGTAATTAACTGTTTTTCTTAACGGTGCCCATATTTGGTCTACGTACCTTATCTGTCAAATTTTATATGTATGTTATAAATATCATGTAGATGGTAAAACGTTAACGAAGCTTTTTCAATCATTCCTACCAGTAACGTGATGACGTCACCTCAAAATTGTACATAGTAAATGGGTTTTAAATTGTATAAAATAACATAGTCCTAGAGTTTATGACTCCATGTTGAGTTTTTAGCGGAAATGTCCACATGTTTTGAAAATAAACAACATTTTGTAATTTAAAAAATTGGCTATATAGTAAGCTGTACTTGCACTTCAGTGTCAGAGTAACACGAATGCTACAGAAGCAACTACAGCAATTCAGTTCAGTTCAGAGTACAACCTCGAGGACCCAGAAATGTAAGTACCAAAATTTATATTATTATGTACCTATACATGAAATTGCTTATTGTTTAATGTCTGTGTTGTCTTTCAGGGAACCGGTACGGCCACAGCTTAAAGTCCAAGTTCTACACGAAATTCTCGAGGATATGCGTGTTTTAAATATCAAACATAGTCATCGGGTGGATATCACTTACGTGAAGCCCCGGAGGAAGATCTGCCGTACATTTCATTGGTAGCGGCATGTTGGCGGTGAAGGACAAATATTCAATGCATACATCAAATGGGGGAAAAGAATAAATGTGCAACTCGAAATCGTTAAGAAATAATTTAGCTTAAAATGTATATAATATAAAGATTTTACTTAGATGTTTTTTTTTTTTCTAAGAGCCTAAACAAAAAGTAGCACTATTCTCATAAGGAATTGTCCATACGTAGACTAAGTGAATTCTTAATAGACTAGATCATTCAAAAAATGTTTTACAAATAATGTACAGACATTGTTAAGTATGGATGTCCAGAAATTTTGTGGATGAACTTTGACTTCCACTGAAGTTTAATGTAATTTCTTGTTCTACGTGACTACTTTCAATGAGCGCAGCCAACTGTATTAAGTTTATTACCCCAGTTCGCTCGAAAATATGCACACACCTAACTAAAGTTTCTACACTTCATCAGTACCTAGTAAAATTTTACAAGCGCTACTTTGAGGGATTGTCGGATAATGCAGGGGGATAATGACACCAATAAAATAAGCGGATATAGTGGGCTAGAAACATCCAGAGTTGCATTGAATTTGTGATTTATGGTACTGTGGGTCCAACCTTCATGGTTAATTTTGAAATACCAATAAAATTTTATTAGATACTCTTCAAGTGATGGAACTGCACCTAATATTTGAAGAAAATTTCCCCCGCGGTTCAGATACGACCATATTTGGTTATATTTATATACGGTTTTAATGAAAATTTTTGTCGAATTTGGCATCGAGGACGGTAGTTTTTGTTACTTCTAAAAATATATTCTAAACAGTCTCTTATATCAAACCTTGCTGAAAAATTATATCTGTTGTAAAAATAACAATTTTTCAGAAAAAAATAAATTTTTCCCTTTATAAAAAAAAGTGAAATTTTTATAAGCCAAATTTTGGGGTAAAATTTAAAAGAAAGTTAAATACTTTCATTGCACTTTCAGTGGGATATAAAATAATGCTGCCATAAATGTTTCAGAGCCTCGCGTCGCAAGTCAGAATTCTGGACTTCATTGCATTCGGTCCGAATTGTATTCGGCGGTGGACCTTAGTAAATTGAGGACCAGCTATGCACGTGTCGTTAATCCGATCCATGGATTGCGGACCAAGTAAGGGATTAGTACTTGCGTTGACCAAACATTATTTGCCTGGACCACATTTTACTGTAGATGAACAACTTATCCCTTTTCGAGGAGGCTGTCTATTCCGCCAGTATATGTCGGCTAAACCCGATAAATATGGAATGAAGCTCTGGTGGATTTGCGATAGTGAAAATAGTTACCCGCTCAAAGATATTCCACACTTGGGCAAGTCAACAAAAGTGAAAAACGCTCGACAAATGTTTCTTTTGAAATTGTGCAACAGTTAGCAACTCCATACTACAATACTAACCGAAATATAACATGCAACATTTTTTTTACTGATACGGAATTGCCAAGAAACTTCTCAAATCCGGTCTCACTTTAGTTAGAACTGCTAGAAAAAACAAGAAATTTGTGCCAAAAGAATTTCTCGCTGCTAAGTCGCGTCCAGTGGATTCTTCTCTGTTTAGTTTTTGTAATGACTTTACTTTGACTTCGTATGTGCCCAAACCAAAAAAGTCAGTAATCTTGTTGTCAACAATGCATCACGCAAAAATATTAATCCGGAAGATAAAACGCCCGAAATCATTCACTACTATAACAAAACAAAAGGTGGTGTCGACGCATTGGATCAGAAAGTACACACTTTTTCGTGTAAAAGGAAAAAAACACACGGCTGGCCATTTGCTTATTTCTGCAATAGTTTAGATGTTATTGGCGTGGCAGCACAAATTATATGGCTGAATTTATACCCTCAACAGAACGAATATAAGAAACAAAAAAGAAGACAACTATGTATTTCTAGAAAATGTTGCTGAATATTTTATACAACCACATATCCAGAGACGATCACGTAAGTAAGATTGAATAAAGATATTACAAATGTAATTGAAGATTGTACGGATAGTGGATCCAGTACATCTAGGCAACAAGTTGCAACAATCCCCACCAAACGAAGGTGCTATATGTGCAAAAAATAGAAAAATTCACTTTGAGTCCAGCAAACATATCGTATGACGACTGGTCCGAAAATTTAGTATGTACATGAGGGTTAAAGAATAATTATAATAACACATATGTGGTATTTGATGGATATAAAAAAAGACAGTATTAAATCAGCTGAAAGGTATCGTCTCGCATTGACACATAAATGTACCGATATCGAATTCGACGAAAATATGCTGCTAAAAATTGCTCAAGATAATGTTTTGTCAAATAACAGAAATACAAGTCGCTTAATAGAAATGTTAAGAATAAAATTAGCTGACGAGGCAAAATTGAACAAGTAATATTTTCATTGAAAAATATAGAAAAATCTTTACCAGCACATAAAGAACACATTCTTTTCTTACATGCTTTCATGTCATGACCTCTCTGGCCATTTTACAGTAGAACGAATGCAACCGTGGCATCGATCATGGAAAATTATTGGTTCCCAAGCATGGGCCGTTATGTACGTCGACACATCGCCAGCTGCTTGGAATGTTTGTTGAACAAACCACCCGGAAGAAAACGACCAGGAATGCTACACCCCATCTCAGCACGTTTGAAAGTGTCCACGTGAATAAATTAGGTTCGTTTGTCAAAACTTCAAGCGGTTGTGAGCATATTATGGTGGTCATTGATGCGTTTTCGAGATTTGGGGTACTCTTTGCTCTGGAAGCGACGACATTGAGGTCAGTGGTGTCAAAATTACAAGCCCTGTTTCAGCAATTTGGGGTATGTGAAGTGGTGGTGTGCGACTGGGGAACCTGTTTCACGTCTCGCAAGTTTAAAGAGTTCTGCAGTGAAAGAGGAGTGAGGGTTGTATACAATTCACCGAGGCATCCCCAGGATAATACCATTCTACCAGTCATTAAGGCAGAGATGCAAAATGAGCGGAGCTGGGACAAATGTTTGCCCAAAGTCCAGTTCAATTTGAATACAGCGGTGAACAAGACAACAAGAAAAAGGCCGTTCCGTGTCCTGTATGGGTATCAACCAACCTTAAAAAACGCCTTAGTTGAAAAAGCACTTGGAGCGTCAGAGTGGCAAGCACCGCAGGAATCACATGAGGAAATTCGTGTAAACATCTAAGACGGTCAGCAGCGCTGCAAGCACCAGTTCGGCAAAAGGCGGTATGCAGGAGTAGTGTATGATGTGGGGGAGAAATTGTGGCAATTAGGAGTGCTCCTCAACACACCGAGTAGTACCAAGCTACAAGACAAGTAGAAAGGGCCATATGTAATTGTGGAAACGTTACCAGGGGACACGAAAAGCTAACATAACCAGGCGAGCGCAAGCAGGTGATCACAGCCCACGTATCTCAACTAAAGGGGTATTCTAACCACGAGGAAACAGGGAAGGAAAACGAAGAAGGAGGTGAAGAGAGTTAAAGTGCGATAGTGGTTGAAAAACAGGGTATCCGAGTGAGTTAAGTGACGAAAGTGAAACTATAGAACAGAGTGGTCCAACTAAGCAAGCAATGCCACATAGGAACAGAAGAACCCCCAACAAATTTCGAGACTTTATTAGTGATTTGTGAACTGAATTTCTCTTTCAGGGATTATTTACAATTAGTTGAATTCTAGGGTTTTAGTGTAATAGACTTGTAGGTGGTGGTTGTAGAATTCAATTATTATTATAGTTGATTTTTGTGTGTAGTAGAGCTATTGTACAGTTAGTTCATTTATTTTTTGCAAGGTTATGGCGTAACAAATTTGTAGATGGTAGTTATGGAATTCCATGATATTATGATAGTTGACTTTTGTGTGTACTAAAATTAGCGTACAGTTAAGTTGGTTCATTTATTTTTTGTAAGGTCATGGCGTAACAAATGTGTAGATTGGGGTTGTGGAATTCAATAATTGTAGATGTTTGTGTGCAGTTACGCTAGCTTTAAATTAATTAATTTTT